ACTGCTACTGCTACTGCTACTACCGCGAAAAAGAATAAAACCAAACCTGAAACTGAAATTAACACGAAGACTAAGACTAGGCTTAATATTAATACTAAGACTACTTGTAATACTAAGACTAAGACGATTGTTAAGACTCATTAAGACTAATACTATTACTATTGCCAATTACCGACACTAATACTAAACCTATCACTAGTACTGGTACTAATATCGACAGTAAGATAAGAATATGATTACGAATCATGAATACTCATCTTATGTATATATCTATAGTTATATTCATAATGATGGAATACACACACATATATATATATATACATAATATGTATCTCTCTCTCTCTCTATATATATATACACATACGTACCAGCTTGAGTAACACTTCTCGCTTGCCACAGGGAGTTCGTTTTCTTGACTGATGATTATGCTGGTTGCCTGCACCATGACTGAAGGCACAGCCAAAGCTTCAATCATTCCGTGACCATGTCTTATCGTGGGCGCAGAGCTCAGGTGGAATTGACTTTAATCATCAATAAGCTCATGTGGCAAAGTTGAGCTCTTGCATGCATTCTACAAGAGATGAGCAAAGGTACTCTTCCTTCGATGAAGCCACGGAGGCTCTTGGCAAGTCTCGTTCAGATCCTTGAACCTTGAATGCAATTTCCCACGAAGCACATCGCTAGGGCAGACTGCAACGCCCAGCGAGTCCCGCGCCTGGTGCAGGGACAATGCAGACTACATTGCTCAGCCATGGAAGTCAAAAGGCTGGATCGCGTATGGACTTGACTGCATGTTCGTTCAGGTCAGACGGCTGCTTCCTTGTCAGCGGTGGCGCTCGGATTCACATGACTCTAGGGCAGCTTGCAGGAGTTTTAGAGGCCTTAAGGGTGCATTCAATCCTCTTTACAAGCAGCATCAGCGTCGGTATCTTCAGATATCACCAAACACCAACAATCTTATTAGCAACAGTATCATCATCCTCAACCTCGGGTAAATCGTCGACATCAGCACTGTGGCCAGCATCAGTCATCAATATGCATTTCTCGCATCGACGTCGGAGTCTCGACTCCCGGCTGACTGGCTCAGAAGCTCTGATCCTGCACCTAGCATGTTTATAAATGTTTACTGTGCCATTTAAAGCTTTCGCTTGGATGCATCGCCTTGCAGAAGCAGCGATGGCCCGACTGTAGGTCTTGCGTCGGAGGATGCTCGGAAATCGTGATTATGGAACACACACACACACACACTTTCAGTTGAACTCTGCTATACGCAGATTTGCACTCCTCGCGGCGCGTTGGATGAATTTGAAGCCATGGTCTTGCAATGTTTCTGGCGGATCTGAAGGCTGGCACGTGAGCAGCAAGCAGCAAGTGTTGCATGCCGATTCTACTTTCCAGCATCTCGGTAGGAGCCCAATGGCTTGGTGTTCAGACTGTGCACGAGAAGCACATGAAGGCAGCATAATGCGGTGTCACGACAAATTGCTGCAAGAATCAGCATACATCAGCCGGGCTCAGGAACAGTGCCAGGACTGTGTACCGCACTTCTTGCAGACAAGGCAGCATTGGCTTGTCTAGTTTTGCATTCGCCTCAGATGCTGCCTCAACATTCTCGGCTGCCGTCACTGCATGCGGCTCGCTGGTCTCTGGGAGTTCGAGCCTTACTTTAGGATCTTTCGACTGGGCTGCCAAAATGATGGCTCAAGATCATGAACTGTAGGTCTTGTGTGGTGCAGTACTGGAAGTAGTAGGCAGTGACACTACAGAAGCTGGGATCCAGCAACCATGAAGGCCCGAGGATCCCAGGACAAAACTGTCTTTAGAGCCCACCCTCCCCAGCCTGGAGCTACTTTGTAAATCTGCGCTGGCAGGGCGCGAATTGAACGAACCGAAGCTCCAGGAGACAGAACCCTGGAGCCCGTGCAACAGATACAGTTATTCCTTCGAACATTTCAGAGATTGCTCTCTTGTCTTGCTTCTCTCGCTTTGACAACGTTGCGGCTGCCTCTCGGCGATGTCTGATAGCTCTCAGGACATCGATGGCCCGCAATATCAAGGCTTACCAAGACAACCGCTGAACGACCTGCTTGCTGGATTCCACAAGCTGCTCAACGAACGAGATGACCCCTCTCCCACCGGTGATTTTGGAGGGCATCTCGACCAAGATTTTGTCACCAATGTGAACGGACATAGTTTCATAGAAGAGCAGGAGTCCGACGAGGCCGTGATGGCTTGCACTGGCTCGAGGGCTTCCTATCGGACTTCCTAGACGGCTGCCGTGGCCAGGCAGCTCAGCAAGCAGGAGACAGGTACCATGTTTCGCAACTCCGGGACGACGGCTGTGAGCCCAACCACGACCGACCGCAGTGAGCAAAACTTCTCCGACGAAATGCCTTTGGCTTGAGGCTGTCGCTTGCACACGCCGTGCCCGAACAGAACTTTGATGAGATTGCCTTTGCTGACAAGGAGGATTGCGATCGTGTGATACCGCGACCTTTGACGTCAAGCTGGCCTGCTGGGATGCAATCAGCGAAATGACCACGAACAACGAGTACGCGTGGAAGTGCAGGGGAGATCACCGAGGAAGAGGCCAAGGCTTGGCATGATGGAGGGCTTTCAGCCGGGTTAGCAGCATCCTTGCAGGCGACAGCAAGGAGGTCTACGGCATCCAGATCTTGGAGGAAGTCGGCACCTGCCGCCGTGGGGCGTATCGTGGAAGACTCGGAGGATTCCCGGCTGCTTCAGGCGCTGATGGCTTCCGTTCGGGTGCGAAACGCACCACAGGCATTTGAACCTCCAGCTTGCACAGCACGAGACACCTCGTAAACTATGGGATACATGGGCGCCTCCTGCTGATCCGCGGCAAGGTCAACCAGAACGTCGCAGCTAAAAAGCCCCGAGGAGCTCACGGACATCAGGCGCAAGACGAACGCATGGAACGAACGACGGGGACAGGGGTGTTCGGGCCCTCGATCCCCCAGAAAACATGAAGTCGCTGCAGCAGGCCCACCCCGCCACGCCGCCTGCTTTTCAGATTTCGGAAGTTTTGCCACGTTCGCCTGACCGCATCGGGAGAAAAACAGAGCTGGGAGACGGGAAGTCATGCCTGCAAAGTGACACAGTTTTCCGGATGTTTCTTTTTAGTCATTGCTTTTCGAATTTGCCGGAGACACGGTGGTGGAAGCGAAATTTGTCGAGGGCCATAAGGCACAAACTGCCCGGGCTGCGCAATCATGCAATCGTGCCTTTGTCAGTCCTTGTTTGTCTGAAAGACGAGGCAACGACCGTTCTGCTGCACAAAAGGTGCCATGGGCAATGCTTTGTGAAATTTTGATTGGGCTTTTCGGGTGAGCGGCGAAGATCAGCCGCTGCTTGGCGGTTATTTATTGCATTCAGACTCCAGACGTGTTCAGCATCGCGTGATGGAGGCTGTTGGTCCAACGACCGCCCAGCTGCACAGCCTCCCTGTCGAGCAGGAGCTGCGGAGCGGCGTTGCAGTGACGTAAAATCCACGCACCAGCAGATTGAAAACTCGGCGCTAGAACCTGTAGTGTAATTCGGGTTTGAACTACAGGGCTGTGGTGGTCCTTGAGCTTTTCTGCAGGCATTGTCACGATCCTCACCGTCGGATGTCCAGGCCTCGCTGGACGATATTGGACAGAGTCGGGCAGGGTGATTCCGCTTATGTCCGCTGATGCCATCCGACGTCTGACGCCGGAGGAGGTAGTGATTAGTTGTTTCTTTTCGATGCTTTTCCGCCGGAGCTGTCGAGCCACACTTCAGCTACTTCGGTTGGAGGAAGGCAGCGCAGAGGCAAAATCCAGCTAAAGAGGGTGATGTGGTGATGGCGTGGGATGGCTAGGGGATGCTAGCGACAATTTCGAAGGTGTTGGCCGCCCCCTCAACTCGCGAAGAAGTAACGCACGAGCTGCTGGCGATCAGCCGGAACCAGGCCCCGCTGCCTACCGGGCTTGCTTTTTCCAGACAGAATATCTAGTGCTGCACATATAGACTTGGGTAGGGCAAACAAATGCAAACAAGCTGTACATTCTAGAACTGGTGTGAGCGGAATCCAAGACCGTGATCCTAGAGCCATGGCCAGCATCAATTCGTAGTTTACAAGGGACTTTGGGAGGACGAGCTGACGAGGATGATGTTGCTGAAGAAGATTGGTTGTGTAGGCCTCGCACAGTCCCTCCAAAAAGCGACGTCTCCACCTCCTGTCATCGTCCAAAAACCGTGCGAAGGGGCGACGAATACAGAATGCCTTGGATCGTTCATGTTGCCTGTCATGATCAACTCTGTATACTCCATGAATGCTGCTACTGTCTACTACGGTCATGCAGCAGATGAAGCGTCCACAGCATCCACTGCAGATCTCGGACTGCCACGAATCAATGCGTACGTGGGGCACAATGGAAACTCCGTCTGCAAACAATGCACTATGCAGATATATACGGATCACTGTGCAGATCATCAAATCCATCATGCCTTGTGTGCAATGTCCCTGTTGCTGCATGGTAATAGATTCGAGATTGAGGGTGATGATCACGTTGGTGATGCAGATGGATGATGGTGATGCCAACGCTGACGCTGATGCTGCCGCTGGTGGTGCTGCTGCTGATGATGAGACGAGAATGTGGGCGGTCTTCTTCTTCCTGCTGCTCCCCCCTGCCGCAGCAGGCTTGTGACTCCCTGTAGGGCCAAGGTCGAAGCACCAGACAGTGGCAAACAATCTGCAATCTGCGCAACATGCATCTGCACCGCAAGCGGCAGGCAATTGCTCCATGTCGAAACACACAGGCAGCCACTTGCAAGCGAATCTGGGCTAGCGAATCCAGCACCCGCATCAAAGCACGTACTCAAAGGCCGTCACTCTGTCATCGGTGCATTCGCCATTCTCATCTGCGCTCGCATCGTGGTTTCACGCAACTTCCGACGTGTCAACGAGCATTTTGTTGTTTTCAGATGTGCTGGCAGTCTGCTTCTAGATCTTCCGCTCGTGGGCAGGGCAGCGCAATGATGTCAGCCGGCGACTTCCGTGAGATGGATTCTTGGATTTTCATGGACGTTAGCGTGGGGGGTTTTGTTGAGTGGCTGATGATACGGTGGATGGCACCGTGGCACCCTGCTAGAACACAGATCGAAGTACTCCTTGCAGCAAGCAGCCTTGAAAGAACATGTTGGAGTCGAGACCATAGAAACATGGGTTGAACGTGGGTTGAAGTAGAGTTTCAGTAGTGAGCACTGGAACCCTGTAGGTCCGGGCTGCAACTTCTATGAACGAGGAGGTCCGGAGCAAGCCCTCGGCGCGCTTGTCTTCAGGCGCTTGAGTCAATTCATCTATCTCAAGTCCAGTCTGGACAGGCTGCCGAGTTAATTCTGTGAATACTGAGTGGTTGTAATGAGTAGGACAAGAGTGCAGTGGCCGGTGCGACCTTCATAATCTGTGAATCCTCAGTTTTGCAGTTTTGCACGTTCGATCCATTTATGTAGACAGATCGGACAATGGGTGAAACAAGATGTTGTTGGAGCATAATGCATCCGAACGAGTGCACAGCCCGTGGCGCAGCTTCACTTTTTGTCGCTGCGCGTCCAATCGTTTTCATGACTGTTTCAGGGCTTTTCATTCTTTCGACACTCATGGTTCACAGTTGTTTCACCATGTCGCTATGTTTGTAATATCTTTACCATGTCTGATGATTTACTCTTCGTTCATTGTTGTGTCACTCTGCTTTCACACGTACTAGCACTCACCCTTGTTCATGGTATGCACTCGCTTCTCTAGTATTCAATCTTATCTAACTGCACCTTTGCCCAAGCAGCGTGATAGCACTTCGAGGTTCTTACGAAAAGTGCAAAGAGTTGTAAAACCGCGTTTTGTTTCGGTTCGTCTCGGTTTCTCGGATGGGTTTTGACTCGCTTTCTGTTCGCGCGGTTCGGTCACCAGCCACCCAGCCGAACTCCATCCACCCCCAACCAACCCTCCATCCACCCCTCCATCCAACCTTCCATCCAGCCCTCCAATCCCTCATGCCCACCTTCCACCCTCCATCCCGACCCCCTCTATCCAACCCTGCATGCCCTCCATCCACCACGCAAACTTCCTTCCACGCCTCCACCGCCCCCTCCATCCAACCTTTTCCATCCAGCCCTCCTTCGAGCCCTTCCCCACCCAACCAACCTCCATCCAGCCCTCCGTCCACCAGCCCTCCCAGCCCTCTCCATCCAACCCAACCTCCCCTCCATCCAATCCTCCATCCAGCCCTCCATGAGCCGCCGACCCTCTATCCAACACTCATCCTTCGTACTACCCAACTACCCCGACCCGCTCCATCCACATCCATCCACCCCTATCCAACACCTCTTCATCCGACCCTCGCAGAGGAGGCTGGAAGGGGTTTGGATGCAGGCTGCTTGGATGGAGGGAAATGCTTGGAAGATGGGGGAGGGCGTTGGATGGAGGATGCTTGGATGGAGGGATGGAAGGGGTTGGATGGAGGGCATTTGGCTGTATGGAGGGCGAATGGAAGGTGGTTGGAAAGAAGTGCCTGGATGGAGGCGGGCTGGATTCAGTCTGGGAAATGGTTGGGGAGGGGGTTTGCCTGGATGAAGGGCGGATGGAAGGTGATAGGAGGGAGGTGTTTGGATGGCCGGAGGCTGGATAGAGGGTGCCTGGATGGCGGCTTGGCTGGAGGGTGGAGAGCAGTGCCTGGATGGAGGATGCTTGGATGAAGGGATGAAGGGCGTGGGATGGAGGGGGGTTAGGCTGGAGGTGCCTGGATGGAGGGTGCCTGAATGGAAGCAGAGGAGGGCTGGCTGGAAGGGGTTTGGATGGAGGGCGGGTGGATGGAGGGTGTTTGGATGGAGGGAAGTGCTGGATGAAGGACGGCGATGGAGGGATGGATGGAGTGGAAATGGGCTCGGTTCGCGCGGTTCGATGTCGCGTGTCGGTTCAGCGGTTCGCGGTTTTTGCGGTTCACAGGGGTGGACCGTTCCTCGCGGTTCGGTTCGCGGCCTTCCTGAAAGAGGGAGTGGCTAATGTCACCACGCGGGGATCGTGGAAGTGCACCAAACGCTTCCGCGGCTCCCGCTTTGGTGCGGTACCCATTTTGACTCAAGCCCCATTATTTTAGACGCTTCGCGCCGTCCGCCTCGCCCCGACTGTACTTGAAGCAGGTGCATTGTTTCGGAAAGCAACGGGTAGGAGTGGATGAGCGCATTTGCTTCAGAATGTGTTTTTATGTCAGTATTTGTTTTCATGCTGACAGAGGCTCTGAGCAATAATCCCACGCGAAAGGTGGCACATTTCCTGCATCATCCCATAGACGTTACCACAATAAGCGTATCACACTTCCCACTGGTCTCGTATACAACCCCCCATATGTCATATGTTGGAAGGGGTATCAAGCTTTGCGACGAAGTACAAGACACAGCCCGAGAATTCCCAGGCTTTGGCATCAGCTTCACGAATGATGTAAGCTAGCCCGCAAGGAAGAGACGAGGGCGAGACCGCTGTACAAGTCCAAGTGGCCCTCTGATTGTCATTCTCAGCCACCTCCATGCTTACGTTCTTTGAACCTGATGCGTCTTGTCAGAGAGAGCTGCAGCCGACTGCCTGTGGTCAGAGCAGGCAGTGGGCGTCGAAGCTTCGCGGGGCTTTTTCTGAAGGACGGCTCGCGTCACAGCTCTCATTGCTACTATGCATCCAACGCGTAGAGCTGACTCCAAAAAAATGCCATGCTCTAGCCAAGAGTAAAAACCATCAAGCCACAGCACCTGTTCTGAACAAGAGCAGCGGTGATGGGCTCAAGATGGATGTCAATCTCTGGCGGAGGAAGCCGCGGCAGCAAAAGTCGATGCAATTGTTTGGAGCCTTGGCAGATGACATGAGGTTTGCTTCTGAGTTCATCATGCATGACAATTTGGATTGCCGGCTTGTCTGAGCATCAATCCATTGCCTTGGGATTCAGGAACCGCTAGTTAAAATCGGCCACTCGAACCACTTGTCCGCTTGAATTGTGCATTTGAACGCTACCCGTGTTCAAGTGGTATGTGCCTCCTGTCCACTTGAAAACGTGGACAATGCTACGACTTCGGGAGGTGGGGGCCACTTGGGCCACTTACCTGGGTTTAGGGTTTAGGGGTTAGGGCTTGTCGGGTTTAAGGGTTAGGGTTTTGGGCTTAAGGGTTTGGGGTTCAGGGTTTAAGGAAGGGCGAGTTAGCAGACCAAGTGGTTCAAGTGTGGCAGTACTTGGGGAAGTATCAGTCACCAAGTGGCCAAGCGGCAGAAATCAGACAGCACTAGGTCCCCGAATCCCCGCACCCTCAATCAATGCTCACAGACTTGCTTCAGTTCGGATGCACCTCCTGTGTACTGAATCGCTTGCATTCAGGCGCGGAATCCTGCCGCTGGGCTCAACTGAGTTTTTGAAGATTTTTGCATGATGCCCGAGCATGACGGGGAGATCCACCACCCGGTCAGATTTCATGAGCGAAGAACCGCAGTAAGACCCTAGCCGGCCCTAACCAGGGTTTGTTGCATACGTCAACCTGTTGACATCCCTACCAGACCTCCACAAAGACCATGCCAAAGGCAGCCACGTGCGTGTAACAGATCCTCTTTGCTGAACACGCAGGTTCTGGTACAGCAAGGCTTTTGTTCCAATCAAGCAGCTTCGGTTAGGACATGCCTAGTGAAGGGAGCGGGTGCTGACGTTTTTTTCGGGTCTGCTCTGCTTGTCCCTCCAAGTTTAGGAAAAGCCCAGTGACCCAAAGGATACCCAGAGCAGTCATGAGATGCCAAACCTAGGCTCCTCTTGAGTTTACTGGCAATCTGCACCGTCAGCTTCATTGTGGCTTTTGCGGTCCTCGGGAACCAGGTCAGCTTGCCCTTGGGAGCACCGAACAGCCCGAACAGTGGGGCTCGAAGACAACGTCCTTGCTCCGACTCCGCCGGTTTCGATCCGGTCGGGATCTGTGTGAACCCATGTCTTCTGGTCCCAACTTAATAGTTGCAGATAACGGGGCTGACAGGGCAGTGGTCTATCCACAAGTTCAAGTGTTCGTGCTCGATAGCTGTCTGTCGATCTTGTTTTGGTGACAGGATTTCCGGATCTTGTGCCTGAACAATTCTTATGCCTTACATGCCTGTCGTTTTCCGACATGTAAAGCCATACCTGCAACAGATATTAGCAGGGTGATGGGACGAAAGCAGCACGGGTGTGCTGGCAGAACCTCGTCGGACCATGTCGCATCGAAGCTTGACAGGTCGGGGATGAGCTGACAATTGTGCAGCCGTGGCAGTGGGCGCCGGCCTAAGACATTAGCGAAGCTTGTGCTTCATTCCTGGCTGTTGCAGCTCGTCTTGCGGCGATCCATGCGAGTCTATCCCTGTAGCCGCATGAGTCGCATGAGCTCAGTGTTCACCCGGAATATTAGGCGGCCTTCTCAATTCTCTCTCGGGGCTGTCACAGAGAGGGGCACAGAAAGCCTAGGAACCGGTTCGCATTCTACGTCTACGTCGTTCCACGTTACGTGGTCTGTCAGGTCGGCACACCGGAGAACCTGGTTGATGCCCTGCGCGGTCAGTGTGTAGCACTGAAGCAGCAAGTTCATGCCTCAGAGAAGTCCCTTCTCTTGCGGCATTCAGGTTCAGGATGTTTTGATGCAACTCAGGCCTCGCCGCTGCTCGAAAGGATCGAAGAATACAATCGTCAGCACGGCTTTCGGGAGGTTGGTTTCCTTACGCGCTCGCGGAAGCAGGCCGCTGGGCTTCAAAGTTGGCAGATGCTTGGTATGGTGCCGGCTGCCGCCAAGGCGCCAAAAAACAGATCACCTGTGTGGATTTCAGCCCAGGCAAGAGCAATCTTTCTGCCAAATTCCTCCCTTTCGCCACGTGTAGCCCCTTGGCATTGCTTACATCTGGCTGGCACTATCTGCCAGACCAACAACATGGTAGCAGAAGTGACTGAGTCGTTTTGTTGCTCCTATAAACGCCTGTCGCGGATTAATTTTGCAATGGCTTCGATGTACCATCCTGAGTTTGAGGTTTGTTCGAACTGCCAGTTTCTATTTTCATCAGCTCACCGGAAGGTGCAGTATGTTGCAAGTGTTGTTGCAACCTGCTGTAGGTGTGGGCCCTGCACGCATGACATCAGGAAACGATGCAATCATGTTCTGCCGACAAAACAGGCTTACACGTGACCCTTTGCGGCAGAAGCATTGAATCAGGTGGTTGTTCATGGACGTCGCTCGCATGGCCTTGCCAGCGCGGTGCATTGCCAGCATCTTTTCTAACGCACGGTCGGCATGTGGATTTTTGGAGCTTGAGGCACAGGCTGCTGGCTACTTCCTCCGGCTCTCAGGGATCAGTGCGCTGATCGTGAAGTCCTCGGAAAGTGGTGGTCCCATGAGTCAGTCGCTTTTTTAACAACCCACACAGCCACAGAGCATGAACAGCTGAGATCGAAGATCTTGCGGTGGCGCATCTCGGCCAGGACTGGGGACTGGCCACATCCGTCTAGGCCAGTCTAGACTAAGCTGAAGAAGGATTAGAATGTGCCGTTAGTTACGTGTGCATGGGCCAATCGAAGCAGCAATCGCAAACACTAGCAAACGCATAGCAAGCATAGCATAGAAGCAACAATGTGCGTCTTTGATCATCTTTGCTCCTAGCTAGCACTCGAGAGTTGCAGCCGGTGCCGAGCAGAGCTGAGAGACTCTGAGGCGCGAAAATGCGAGTTCTTGGCTGCTGGACGATGACACGGTTCTTGGGGCGTGGGACTATGCGGCAGAGGACCCACAAAGTCTCCTTGGAGGCGCTCGCCACACTCAGAAAGGCTAAGATGCACCTGGTACCTAAGTCTTGCAGTTCCGGTACAGATTTGGAGGTGCGCTGCCAGCCAACCAGGTAGCCGTCATGGGCTAAAGCCTTGGCACCGAGGGCTTAGCTCGGACTTGGGCTATCGCCAGAACTTAGGAAACGTTAGCTCGTCTCCAAGGTTTCGACTTCGGTGGCTTTGCCGCGCAGCGTGCTTTCCTTCGCGAGCCGCGCATCCGAACTCTGCTGGTGGACGGAGTCGTACACGATTTCGAGGCAGACAGCATCAATAGCATGGATAGCACATCCGTTGCATCGAGTCGGCTCATGTGACAGAGGCGCTCATTCGGGAACATGTTGTGCGGCTCCTGGGAAGCTGGAGCTCGACGATGCTGAGGAATCTACTGACACAACAGGACTGCGAAGATCTGCGAAGCCATGCGCTGCCCTTGTCATACGCTTCCCGTTTCGCAATGTTTCGCAATGAACAGGTAAAGAGCCGCTGCGAGTTCAACCTACAGACGAGGCTCAGTGAGGCCCAGCACTGGCTCATCCATTCTAGAGTTCCTCTATTTTAATTGTGGCAGCGGGAATGCTTGCCGCTGTGCTTGCCGCTGCTTGCCCAGGCCAGTTTGAGCGGCAGCTTTGCCGATCGGACTGTGAACAACGGCACTAGAATCGGCATCTTCCGCTCTGAGGATGTGTCTTGGTACCTATCGCGACATCCGCACACCTTCTAACATCTTCTAACTACCGCGCAATCATGACAGAGAACGATGCGGCACTGCATGTGACTTGTGCCTTGCAGACTGCAACAGATATCGCTGTCTAAGGATGCCGTGATTCCTGGGGTCCCTGAGCTAAAACACACGAGATTTTTCGAGATGCTTCTTCTGACACCAGACAACGCTGGATCACGCAGGAAACTTTTGCATGTGCTGCAATCATGGTTGCCTTAGCCTGAGGATGAGCAGTACGACTTGCTCACCTCCGCAGTCTCCATGAATGGTCAAATAGAATCTGTCAGGCAGGAAAATCAGAAAATGTCAAATAATCTTGTGCACTGCAAGCTTTCTCAGCGCGATCACAATGCCCCTGGACCTCAACTGTGACCTACCGAGCATTGCCATGTCTGCAGTTGGTCATCGACTTATACCGGCCCGAGCAGTGATGCTTGCGACAAGCAGAGGGCGCTGCACCTCTCGTCCCCGACAGAATACCAAGCGAATCTCAGCCAAAATTTTGACAGCTTTGGTGATTTCGCCTGTCTTCAGTACGTGCGATGTAGATAGTGACAATACTTTGACGGATGAGTTTGCATACAAGACTTGTCCAAGGCAACTCTGCGAGTTCTTCGCGGATGCGTTTGCACTTGGAGTTGACTGCAGGCTGCAAATTATGGATCCAGAGAATGAGTGTTTTTGTCTCTCAGTCACCGTCTCTCATTTTTTGACAAGGGTCGGCTTGGCGCTTGGCTGTGTGCAGGTGACCGTTGGAGCTTGGCTGAGGCGGAACGCACGCACGGACGGAGGTTCGACCAAAGACCGCTTCGGGAGGCAGATTTCTCCGGCACTCGGAGCTTTGATAATGAAACTCTCCAGCTGCAGCGCTTCAAACATCTCTGGAGATAGCTGTAGATGCAGCTCGGAAATTGGCCCGCAAAAATCACGGAAACTGAAAAACCACGGGCGAGGTTTATTGCTGTTCCCTGCAGATTCCAGAGCCTTCAGTTTTCGATATCGCGGTGCTTGTAGCTTTGACCGCCGCTGGCGCTGTGTGGTCATCAGTCTGAGGCATCTTGAGCGAATTAAGATGGACTTGTGGTCTTTTGCCTGCAGGCGCCGTGCAGTCAGAGCTCATGATGTGGTCGTGCAGCAGGGGCACTGAAACTGGTGCCCCTGCAGATTCGGGTCTGCAAATGGCAGATCTCAATCGAAAAACACGGTGCCAGACTGTGCCAGACAAATGTTGAGATGTCTCCAAGGATCGTTCAGGGTGCCACACATGTTCTGCCGGTGCTTGAGGTGGTGCTTTGGTGTTGAGTTTGTGCTTCTCATGTACTGTCGATGCCATCTAAGCACGTGATGTCAAACATGTTACGTGCCTTTCAGGTCAACAGGCGGTAGCCTCCATCTCCTTTGCGAAGGTGGGCCTGGAGAGAACCTCGTTGCATCGTTTCAGTGCGCTCAGCTTTTGTTTCGGTTTCGGTATGCTTCAGCCAAGACTCTAGAGGATACCGTTTCATGCGATATCTGTAGAAGCGGAGCTCCACAAGGCGGTGGGAGGATCACCCAGATGCCTGGAAACTGGCACATAAGATTTGCAGCACTGCCAGTGACTCAGCTTTTCCAGATCCATCTGACCACTATCGGCACTTCGACAATGCGCGAAGCCCATCGCGCATAGATGAAAACGCTCTTCATTGTTGACTGGTCGCACAGGATGTCCCAAACACAAGTGTATGTCACGCAACCTGTGGGGTGGTAGCTGGCACCTGCTTGATAGATAGGCTGAAATTTTGTCAGCTCGCCAACTCCATTGACACTTCAAGTTTGGGTTGTTGAGCCTCTCAGCGACAATGACAGGACAGCAGAGCTTCATAGATTTGGAGTCATACGTTCCTGCCAAACATGGCAGGGTTATCTCGAATTTCAAGGGCATGCTTGTCGCCAAGGTCTTGATGGGCGGATGGCGGCCTGCATGAAATCATGGCTTGACTCTGGGTCCTTCCATGATACCCCAGTTTTCTTGGGCCTGTTCCCGTGATAGCTGCACTTATCGTTCACTTCTCTTTCAGCCTTGCTGAATCTCATCCCGGCCCACATCCCGAGCGCTGAAGATCCCGGCAGATGCGGAGCTATGAACCAAGTCACAAGCGCATGAATGCGGTTCAAAACTGCTTGAGAGCCTCTGCCCAGCCCAGCTACTACACGAGGGCTTTCACTGGTCACTAGCTTCCGTGCACCGGCAGAATCAGCAGCTTCTGACGGCTCATCATCAGTGGATCATATAGACCCACATAGGCTTTGGCCTTGACATGATTTTGACCGTTTTGGTCCTCGTCTTTGGAGATATTTAACATTCGACAGAAGCTTTCATTAACGTGGCACATTCTTCTGCCCGCCTGGCTCCCTGTTCGTCCAGGGTTCTTATTGATTTGATCCCCGCCCTGCAAATTCGATGTTCTCGCTAGTTTAGATATCCCTAGTGACCTAGTAACTAGTACTAATTACCCGAATCAACTGTGCAAGCGAGTGATCTTGACTCGCTGTCTCTCTGCTCATCTGTATTGCGTCGTATGACTGATGGATGGATGGAGAGCGAGAGAGAGAGAGAG